GGTGGAGCTATGGATGTTGCAGACCTTTTGTGGAGTGGGTGGATCCATAGAAGGTGTAGCCTTCACTGGAGTGGGTGGGGCCATGGAGGGCAGAAGAATGGGCGGGGTGAACGGTAGAGGCCTCCCATGGCGTGGGCGGGGCCATGGCTGAGGGGCTGGAGCTATGGATGTTGCAGACCTTTTGTGGAGTGGGTGGATCCATAGAAGGTGTAGCCTTCGCTGGAGTGGGTGGGGCCATGGAGGGCAGAAGAGCGGGCGGGGTGAACGGTAGAGGCCTCCCATGGTGTGGGCAGGGCCACGTGTAAGTGGGCGGGGCTAGCCTGCCGGTCTGTGCTCCGGAGCACCCGGCTGTGCGAGGTGGCAGGTGCAAATGGATGTAACAGACACGCACCGGCTTGTGGGTGTGGCCCACAGGGTGGTGTGGCGGGGCTGATCACCCTTCCTCTCCCCTAGGCTCCAGCAGCCTCGGCTTCACCTCCAGCCCCTCCCCTTTCTCCTCCTCCTCACCAGAGAATGTGGAGGACTCTGGTCTGGACTCTCCATCCCATGCAGCTACCGGCCCCTCCCCAGATTCCTGGATCCCCCACCCAGGCACCCCACAAAGCCCACCTAGCTGTAGGGCGCAGCCCCCGGACTCCAGGGCGGCCAGGGTCCCACCACCACCAGACTCGCCGCAACCCCTGGCGCCATCACCAGGACCGTGGGGGCTGGAGGCCGGAGGCGGTGAGTGTGCAGGGTGGCTCTGAGAGTGGGGTGCAATGACCGAGGGCCGCCTGTGGGCCTAGCTTGCAGCTGCCTCCCAGGGAAGGGACATCTGAGCTGACTTGGCTAAAACTCCTCATCCTGATCCCCTGGAGGCTCCCCCACCTCCTAAGCCACCACCCCTTACTTGCATACCACCAGTGATGGGGAGCTCACCCCTTATCCAGCCAGCAGTATGATGTCTGAGACATTCGTGGTGTGGACATGGTCCCTAGGACTCCACGCCACAGGTCATCCCAAACCCCCCCCCAGTCTTGGGCTGAGTTCCTGCCCCCAGGGAGGCCACAGAGGCCCTGGCAGCATCTCAGCAATGCCCGTTTTCTCAACTTGTGACCCAGACCTGGCACCAGCAGATTCCATAACCAGGGAAGGCCTGGCAGCCCCACCCCGAAGACCCCGCTCCAGGAAGGTGTCCTGTCCCCTCACCCGCAGCAACGGCGACCTGGTAGGTCCCGGGGTATGGAGACCTGGGCTGGGGGTGGCCTCCAGGTCAGCTTTTGGCACAGCTGCCAGCCCTGCCACCCTCCTGCCCTGCAGTCCCGGTCTCTGAGCCCCTCCCCGCTGGGCTCATCGGCCCCCAGCATGGCCCCGGATCGGCCCACCTTCTCATCCCAGACTGGACATGGTATGTGGGGCCACGCTGCCCCCACCTCAGCTTACCGTTCCTGGCCTGGCGGGTGGCGGAGGGCGAGGGCGGAGGCGCTGTGGTGGGGCGGAGCCCGCAGTCTGCGCTGGCTGTGGCTGACCCCTCGCTCCCCACCACCGCAGGAGTCTCCCGGGGCCCCAGCCCTGTCGTCCTGGGCTCCCAGGATGCACTGCCCGTGGCCACGGCCTTCACGGAGTACGTCCACGCCTACTTCCGCGGCCACAGCCCCAGGTGCGCAGGGGTCGGCTTCACATCCCCGAGGCTGCACCCAAACCACAAGGAGAGGGTGTCCTACCAGAAGCCCGAGCTAAGGACAGTAGCAAACAGAACCACTCTGCCGCGAACTCCCTGGTGGCCAAGGAGAAAAGGGAACTAGGGGCGGGCATGTTCCGGTCTCCTTCAGCCCAGGGTGGGCTCCTCCCGTCCAGGCAGAGCTGAAAGCAGGTCGGGGAAGGACCCAGGGCAGGACCAGGGCCCCGCCGCGTATTAAGAGGCCTGGGAAGCCTCGCCTGTAGGGACCCTGGAGAAGGGAGGACGCAGGTGCGGGCAGAGCCCTGACCTAACGCGCGCCGTCCCGCCCCCAGCTGCGTGGCTCGGGTCACCGGAGAGCTGACCATGACCTTCCCGGCCGGCATCGTGCGCGTGTTCAGCGGGACCCCGCCCCCGCCCGTGCTCAGCTTCCGGCTCGTCCACACGGCCGGCATCGAGCACTTCCAGCCCAGCGCGGACCTGCTCTTCAGGTGGGTGGCCGGCAGGCGGGAGGGCCGCTTGCTGTGTGGCCTGGGGCAAGCCGCCTGCCCTCTCTGAACCTTGCGGTGCCGGTTCGCGGGCTCACCCGCAGAGGGCTGCGCTGAGCCCAGGGTGCCCTGAGAAGTCACGCCTTCAGGAAGCCCTGGGAGGGTGTGTCCCGAGTTTGGGGTCGACGAGTCCCCGTCTCTGCAGTGACCCATCCCAGAGCGACCCAGAGACCAAAGACTTCTGGCTCAACATGGCTGCTCTGACCGAGGCCCTGCAGCGCCAGGCGGAGCAGAACCCCGCGGCCTCTTACTACAACGTGGTGCTGCTGCGGTACCAGGTGCGAGGAGCGGGGAAGGGGTGCAGCCAGCCAATGAGAGCAGGCGGCAGAAACCCAGACAACCGAGGGCAGGTGGCAGAAACGCAGGCAACCAATGAAAGCAGGCGTCAGAAATGCAGCCGGCCAATGAGAGCCAAGCGTGGGTGGGGCATGAATGGCAAACTGCTAGACGGTGTTACAGGCCCAGCAGCTATTGGTGCAGAGGGTGCTGTTATGCAAATGAGAGCCTCGAACTGGCGCCTGTCCGCCAGGCTTCTAAGAGGCGCTCTCCTGCCCTCTGCTGGGCAGGAGGGGTAGCGAGGCGCCCCGCTTCTGCCTTTGCGACCGTGGGCCGCGCGCACGGCGGGGTTTGCGCTGCGGGCCGAGTGGCCGACGCGGGTGGGCTGCTTGCACAGAGCACGTGGCGGCGCCAGCCACGGCCCCCTCCCTGGCCTGTCCCCCCCAGTTCTCCCGCCCGGGGCCCCAAGCGCTGCCCCTGCAGCTGCGCGCGCACTGGCAGTGCGGGGCGGCGCTCACGCAGGTGGCCGTGGAGTACAGCTACCGCGCCGGCGCCACGGCCGTGCCCACGCCGCTCTCCAACGTCCACATCCTGCTGCCCGTGGGCGAGCCCGTCACCAACGTGCGCCTGCAGCCGGCGGCCACCTGGTGAGCGCGGCCCGTGCCCCTGCACGCCTCACCCCCCCTCGCCCACCGGGCGCTGGGGCCGGCTGGGAGGTGGGGTGTTGGAGCGGGGTCCCCGGGCGCCTGGCCTCTGACCAAGTTCCTCCGGCCTCCAGGAGCCTGGAGGAAAAACGGTTCACCTGGAAGCTCCCGGATGTGTCGGAGGCAGGGGGTGAGTGAGCGCTGGGGCGAGGGTGGCCCTCGGGTGCAGGGCACTTGTGGAAACGGGGGAGGGGGGGATGTGCGGGGGGAGGTTGCCAAGAAAACTCTGGGAAGAACCTGGGGTGGTAGTCCATAATCCAGAGGCTGAGGCAGAAGAATCCCAAATTCAAGCCCAGCTTGGGCAATTTAGCAAGACCCTGTTTCAAAATAAATTTTTTAGCCGGGTGTGGTGGTGCACGCCTGTAATCCCAGCACTTGGGAGGCTGAGGCAGGATGATTGTTGCGAGTTCAAGACCAGCCTGGGCTACAAAGTGAGCTCAAGTCCAGCCTGAACTGCATAGCGAGACCCTGTCTCAAAACGACCAAAAAATTAATAATAATAATCATAAAAAGTTTTTTTAAAGAGGAGGGGCTGGGGATGTGGCTCAGGGGCACATCGCTGGCTGAGCATATGCAAAAGCCCTGGGTTTGAAGCCTCAATACAAAAACAAAAAATCTGGGAGGGGCCGTGTGGGGGCCGGGGTAGCAGTTGCAAAGGTCCTGAGGCAGGCCTGCCAGGGAGAACACACAACGCCCAGATGGGCCAGAAGAAGGTCCAAGGGGCCAAGAGGAGTCGGCGGGGGCAGACGGGGCCACAGGCGCGGGGGTGGCCACGCCTGATCCCGGCCTCCCCAGGCTCCGGCCGCCTCTCTGCCAGCTGGGAGCCGCTGTCGGGGCCGAGCACCCCCAGCCCCGTGGCCGCACAGTTCATGAGCGAGGGGGTCACTCTGTCCGGCGTGGATGTGGAGCTGGTGGGCGGCGGCTACCGCATGTCCCTGGTGAAGAGGAGGTTCGCCACAGGTACCCCGCCCTGCCGGGAGCCCCAGAGCCACAGAAGCCCAAGCTGCGCCTACCCGGGCGGCGGGGAGGAACTTGGCTGGGGGGCAGGACTGGTGCAAACCCTGAGTTCCGGGGTGCCGGGGAACCTGGGAGAGGGGAACTGGGACGCCCCTCACTGGCTCGCTGCCCCCCCAGGGATGTACCTCGTGAGCTGCTGAGCGTCGCCCCAGCTCCGCCCTGAATCCTGGTGCTCGCGGACGGGACGCCGGGTCCCCGCTGTCCCCAAGGCCTGGATCCGTGGAGAGGAGCCGCCCGTCCGCGCCGCGCTGGCCGAGCCGAGGTCGCGCCTCCCCCTCACGCCAACCCCACGCAGGTCCCGGCCTTTTAATGTTCTTTAAATAAACACTTTATTTTCTAACAAAATAAAAAAAGGAAACCTTGTCCTGCATCAGTGCGTGTCCTTCCTCCACCGCTGGGCGGCAGGGTCTCGGAAAACAAGTCCTGTGGTTTGCGGGGCGCACAGAGACTCCGGCCTCGCCCTGTACCGGGCCCTGCCCGGGCTCAGAGCCGGGGGGAAGGACCGAGGACCAGGCCTGGAAGGCTTCGTAAAGAGGGCTTCATACAAGGGGGTTTTCAGAGCCTGGCGTGGTGGTGTACGCCTGTCATCCCAGCCATCCGGGAGGCTGAAGCAGGAGGATCGCGACCTCGAGATTACCCTGGGCTACACAGCGAGAGCTTGTCTCAAACACCACCACCCCCAAATAGCTGAGGGATCTGGGGTGCGTGCGCCCTGGTGTGCCTCACCCGTGGGCGTGGCTATGGCAGGATGCAAATCATTCAAATCATTTCTAGACATCCGGGTGGGAAGGCGGCCCCTAACGGTGCTCCCGGGGAGGGTGGGTCAAATTCACAGGGGAAAAGAGGCGGGTTACCCATGGGAACGGCCCTGGCTTACTGTGTCCAGCGAAAGAGAAAACTAAAGCAGGCTTGAGGACCTTTTGTATCCTTAGGCCAGTTTTCCTTAAAAGCAGAATTTTTACTTTTCCTCGTCTCCTTTTTTTGCGGGGGCGGGGCGTTTTGCGCCTCAGTCTCCCCGTCCACAGCCCACAGCCGTAGGATCTAAGGAGGCTGGGACGTGCGTGTCACACAGGGGACCAGAAGTGGCCTGGCGCAGCGGGGCGGGGAGCTTTCTAGGCAGGAGCAGGGGCGGCGATGCAGCTCCCACACTGGCTTTGTGGCCTGCGCTTTCTTGTGGCGAGGAAAGCGGGCTCTGGGCGGCGGGCCGGCATCCGCACTCCGCTCCTCCTCCGGGCCGAGGAGAGAGGCGGCCGTTGCTCTGCGCTCAGCAGGAGGAAGTTTGGAGACCTTACTTATCCTCAAAGGGAAAACGCCGAACTTTTTTAAAGCTCCACCTTTAAACCGGGCATGGTGGCGCACGCCTGTCATCCCAGCACTCTGGAGGCTGAGGCAAGAGGGTCCCTGAGAGTTCGAAGCCACCCTGTCTCAAAAAATAAAGCTCCATTTCGCGCTGCCGGTTACATCTCGCTCCCCCAGCCCCCATCCCAAGAACGGGGATGTAAATGTCACCGCGCAGGGGTCCCAGGAGCTCCCTGAAGTGGGGATGGGGCTCCCGCCTTCACCCCACGCCCCGTGGGCAGTTTACAGCTTTGCTGACTTAGGTACAGAAAAGGAACTTTCAGGGTGCTCAGCGAGGCGTGGGGGGAGGCGGTCTCGGGCAGGGGCCTCCAGGCAGAGGGGCGTCAGAGGCCGAGGGAGGAGCTGTTTTCAGAGGCGGAATCTGTGGCACTAGAGGAAGTGTGGGAAACCGGCATCGCAGGTCCAGAGGCGGCCCGGGTCCCGGGACAAAGCAGGTCTATTGTGTTTTTTTAAAGATGGATGATCTAAGATGTTTTGCCTAAAAGCATTGTTTGCACTCTGACTGTCTTTATGATAGGCTCGGCCTTCCTAACGATGGCTTTCTGGTCTCTTCAGGGAACTCGGGGTGGGGTGAGCCTGGACGGAGGGAAGCGTGACTGCTCCAGGGGCTGCCGATGTGGGCGACCTCGGGTAACCGCACCATGAAGTTGAGTCTTAAAAATACAACTCAGAGTTACAGCTTTCCTTGTCTCCTTTCTACCTACTTGTGTCTCCTATCCTGCCTTAGAAAGAAGAGGACGCTTTGCCCCATCAAACTCCTACTTGTATTTCAAAACCCCATTTACAGTGCCATCTCCTCCTCCTGACTGAGAAAAACCCTAGGGCCTCCCTCTGGGCGCCTCTAGTTCTCCTTCTGTCCTCAGCTTCTTCATCTGCGAAGTGAGGAAACCTGTGTAGGGAGAGGTCTGGGGAAATGTCCCGCTCCCAGAGAGCTCTTGATCACCGCAAGGCGGCGACTGCGCGTCCCCGGGTTCAGCAGGGTCGCTCCAGTCCGGGGCGGCCGTCGTGCTTGCACCGTCCTGCTATGAACAATGGAGACTTGGGGCTGTGGCTCCGCTGCCCGTGGAGGCCTGGCTTCCCCTGGGGGCCTCAGCTCTTGGGGTGCAGCCCAGGGGCGGCGGCCACCAGGGGGCCCCGGGGTTTCCTGATTTGCGGGCTCAGAAAGTGCCAGGCTTCCCCAGGTGCGGACAGAGGGACCTTCATGTCCTCTCCCCGCAGACCTTTGCGTGTACACACGAGTGCAGCGGCCAGGCGACGTGGCAGAGTCGCTGGGCCCCCTGGTGCTACGGGCCCTGCCCAAGGTCACCGCCCCGCCTCGCTTTATCTCCCCGGGCTGACGCTGCCGTGGGGCAGGGCCGAGCCATGGGGCAGGGCAGGAGCCGCACACCTCCTGGCGGCTTGCGTTTGCAGACCGCTGGGCCGCTGGGGCGCGGCCGGCTGTTTGCTCGAGTGACTTCCCGGCGCCCAGCGGGAACAAGATACTATCTCGCAGGGTGGGGCCCATTTAACCGTCCCTGGAAGGCCAGACATCTGTGAATGGTGCCCTGCCCCCCAATCCAGGGCCGCAAAATCCCAGCTCTGGAGCACAGCAACCAATCGCTGAGTCTCTGGCCTATTCAGGTTGTTTGATTGTTTTTTTCAGGTGAAATTCACACAACAGGAAATGAATCGTTTAAAGGGGGCTTCCGGGCAGTCACAGGGTTGTACAAGCGAAGCCAGGTGCGGTGGCGCACGCCGGTAGTTCCAGCACTCAGGATGCTGAGGCAGGAGGATCTGAGAGTTCAAAGCCAACCTGGACTGTGTAGTGAGACCTTGTCTCAAAAAAGCCCAAAAGCAACGAGAACGACAACTAAAACATAAAGCTGTACAACCACCACGTCACTTGTGCCTCTGCACCATTCACAAACCCACCCGCTGGGAGCAGACCTGCCCCCGAGAGCCCTCCCTCCCTGTCACTTCCCCAGGCCCAGGCAGCCGCCAACCTGCTTCCTGTCTCTGCCTTACCCTATTCTGCCCTGTACCGTTCTTATCCAGTGGGGGAAGGGGAAGTAAAAATGATCAAGACATGTCCCGCTTCCCTGATTTTAAAAACTCCAGATTTTTCAAAACTGGGCTCACACAGCCTTGCAGCTGGCTTCAAGGGTCAGCCCCATAGTAGCCTGTGTCGGTGCCTGTTCCTTTTCACCGCTGAGTAGTATTCCCCCGAGTGGCTGCACCGCGCTTGTGGGTCTGTTCATCCGCTGAGGAGCTCTTGGCTGTGGCCACGTCCGGCCTGCTGTAGACAGCGCGGCTGCCGGCACCGTGTGGGCGAGGATTTGCTCCAACACCTGTTGGGTTCTCTGGGCATTGACCTTTGGTCCCAGCATCTGCCTGTATTGACCAGGAAAGTGCTGGGGTGACACTGGGGGAGCCCCGCACCTGATGGACCTGGGCGTGGCATCCGATGCCCCCTCTCTTCCGGGCGACGCCTCCCTGCCAGGGCCCCATGGGGTGACTGAGGCTCAAGCCACAGAGGTCACTGTGATACAGGAAGCCAGCTTGGGTCGCGCGCTGCCTGGCAGAGTCCACTCCCGACCCGTCCCACCCAGGCGACCGCAGAGGGCGCTCTACCCTCCATTGCAAGGTGAGGAAACTGAGGCACGGCCGGGACACCCCTTCCTCCTCAGGGAAGAACAGGGTGTGGAGGGAGAAGGGGTGAGTCCTCGCTAAGCCCAGACCCCCAAATCTGCAACCTCCTGGACCTGACTCCAGCTTGCAGCCTGCAGCCTGCAGGTGCCTGGGGGGCTCCGGAACCTTCCAACCGCAAAGGGATCTGAGGACCCTCTGGGCTCCGCCTGCCTGACAGCTAAGGTTTCCTCGATTGAACGCAAGCACGTTAGGCCTGCATTGGACTGGGCCCTGCGTCAGGGGAGTCAAAGGGAGGCTGGCAGACCCCCAGAGCGGGGTGGGCTAGGCGGGACCGGAGCCCACCGGAGGGGCGTGGGCTGGGCTGGGGGCGGGGCTAGAAGGGCGTGACGGGAGTGGAGGAGAGCGCCGGGAGGGCGGGACCAGGGTGGAGGGCGGTGCTAGATGGGCGTGGCGGGAGTGGAGGGGCGGGGATGGGGCGTGG